TATATGCGTAAGCTGCAGAGCCCACGTCATGGCACCCCACTGCACTGTACTGCAGTCTAAACACTATACATTTTGAGAGCCTCCAAAGTTGGAGCACATATATAGTAATGGATTGATTAATGGCAGGTAAGCCTGGAGGGAGCCCACCCCTCCTTAAAGGTACAGGGATGCACTAGACACCCAGCAATACCACAATGGCAGCGAAGCTATCCAATGCATCCCCTCACCAATTCACCAACAGTACAAACAACCCCAACCTATAACTGGCCTTTGCAGCAAAGAGCACATAGAAGGGCAAAACATATAAAAAAAAACAAATAAAAATTCCCAGCTTACTTCCCAGCCAGCCTGCAACACCAAATTAATCCTGTCTAACAGTTGACATTATAACAAGGGGTTTAGTTTATACACATTTGCAAATATATGCGTAAGCTGCAGAGGTGTAAAAAAAAATATGCCCTTACATCCATTGACCATAACCTTAGCTGAAAGTTACCCTCATAACCTTTTTTTATGGGTGTGGCTGAGTAAGTACATTTTTCTGTTCAAAAAATTATTTTAAGATTTTGACAATTACAAGGAAGGTAATGTGGACAGGTATATATACACACTCAGTCCAACAGTGCAATGTCAATGCAAGGTACACAGAGCAATTACTGAATGAAGTATCAAAGTGTAGCCAGGTGCAGGACCACAGAAACATGGAGAAGGAGACGTTTTGTTTTTTACAATCAATTTACTTCCACTTTCTGCTGTTATGCTGAATGTTGTGTTGCACTATCCCCTACAGTCAGCTGGGGGAGGACTGTAGCCAGGAAAGCCTATGGACTTCTATGAATGTGGAGGATCATGGGAATTGTAGTCTGAAACATCAATCACAGAATGGGACTCATGAACCTTTACAATATAGTTCCCATAGGACATTGAGGAGGAAGGGGAGTGGTGGCACAGCTTTTACCAGACTTCACTGGAAACCTCTTCCTCTTTGTAGCGCAGGACCTAAGGTGTGCACATTGGTCCTGGTGAACATGGATCATCCACAGGGCAAGTGACTAGACCCAGAGACTGAAGACTGGGGGTGGAGACACCTGAGGCAGCGCATCACCAACCACAGCAATCACATCTGCACTGTTGTTGCAGGAAGAATGTAGCATCTTCTCACCCTCTACTTCCCATCACTGATCAGTGGAGGCATCCTGTGGAGGGGCACCTCCTTCTACAGAGAGGGGTCACTTAGAGGTCCCAGGAACTGGTGAGAGGGCTATTCGCCCATTGCTAATTAAAGGGCCCCAACGTTAGCAGGCAGAAGAACATCTCAAAGGACTGCTTCTCCCGTAATAATTATTATGAAAGCCCCCTTTGTTCTCTGCCCCCTCCTCTACCGTTCTCTTTTTCTTTTGCACAGTGTATACTCAGTCGGTCTAGGACTAGCATCACTACAATAAAGGCTCTCTGGCAATATAGTTCCAGCACTGGTAGATTAAACTTTACTACTGCTTACTGTTGCACTTGTGGTGGCCTTGCTACTGTTTATGCTGGACTAGACACCAAATGTCATCTTATGCCTAGTACTTTCTGTTAACGTTGTATCACTTTGTATTATAAATTGTGGTATTACCATCATTAATCCATTTTATGCTTGCCTAGTTACTAACCCTGGCACTGGGTGACAATATATTAAGTTTGCCTTTACTACTTGGTTTGGTGCCTGTTTTCTTTGGTATAGCACTACTACTGGGTACTGAGTATTACTTTCAGTGAATTCCTGTGAAATTGTATGTTTATACACTCAACCTGGTGTGTCAGAGGGGCTGAGGTTCTTGAAAAGGTCAAGGCAAAGAACAGAGGACCCATCCTAATCTGCGGCTCCTACGGGGGTAGCACTACAAAACGTATGACCCTTTTCAAAGTGATAAAGATTGGAATAGACCTTGTTGATTGGGAAATCTAATGTCATACTAGTCATGGGAGCTGTAACATATACTAATCTAGATTTGGAAACTACTTTATATATATATGTCCAGGAGTACTAAGAATTGCCTTTAAGGGGCCCCTATAAGCTTCGCTATGATAATTGACTGTACTGTATGTGCACTAACTAAAGGGAGTATGAAGAGAGACAGAACGGGGGTGAAAGTGGTGGATACCTTTTTTGATGGTACCCACTCCCACTTTCTCTTTTCTTGCCTAGACAAGGATAACCTTCACCTGCAGCCTTCTGGGATAACATCACAGATCAAGGATACTACACGACCAGTCTTACAGCAGTCCACCATCCCACACATGCAAATCAAGATGGGGCGTGGAAGATCCAAAGCCTTGATCAGAATGGGCTGCATGGAAGCAGCACTGAAAATCAGGGGATTGTAAGTATCTGTAGCTACAGTATTTGTAGCAGCTGACTTTTCACATTCCCGGGTTCCTTTGTAATAAATACCTAAAACTTAAAGTATATCTAAACTCAAAAACAAAATGGTTACATATTGCAACTTACGGCTCCTAAGATGTGGTGTCTTTGTTGGTGTTATTTGTTCAGGCTAAGTACATTATCTGCAAGTACAGAAAATACCTGTTGTTGCCGCCAGAAATCAAGTGTCCTTGTAACTCACTGAGGTTAATGTACTAAAGTGAGTGGAAAATCTGGTGAAGCTCTGCATAGAAACATATCAGCTTCCATTTTTTTTTGTTAATGCTTAATTGAAAAAGCAGAAGTTAGAACCTGATTGGCTACTATGCACCAGATTTTGTACTCTCCACTTTTAGTAAACCAACCCAATTGCGTACTGAACTGATATCTCAAACAATATTTTTAGCCGGCCCATTTAGCTTCTATGAACTATAGAACACTTCCCTCCTATGATATGGGGACGAATAGAGGTGTCATTTAAATCGACGGTCTCTAAACTGCTGATCTACAACCCCTTTGCTTGCGTTAATCCCTTGGGGCACTGTTCCTCCCAATGAAATGACACACTATAACTCCCACTCACCTCAATAATGAGTCACTATTCCTTCCACTGACACCAACAATGGGGCACGAATCCTCCTACTGACACTAATAGTGGGGCACCATTCTTCCTACTGAAATCAACTGTGTGGCACAATTACTTCCACTGACACCAACAATAAGGTGCCATTCTTTCCCCTGACACCAACAATGAGGCACTATTACTCCCATTGACACCAACAATGGGTTGCATTTGCATTTTAACATGCATACTCATTTCCTGAAAGATGAAAATGGTCTATGGCTTGGAACAGGAACCAAACTTGTGCCTGTTGATATTTTTCTTGTGTTGGGGTGTATTGTAGGGCACTGACATGCATTACTATGTGTTGTTATTGCATTACAAAAGGCTCACTCCACTTTTTTCCCACTACAAGCCAACACATATCAATACACCACACCAGTGTGAACCGCTCCCATTTACTGTACATAATTATTTTTTACAGTTGTTGTGTTGGCATGCATTGAAAAAAAGTGCCAGTGCATGAGATATGAATGAACCCTAACTCCTAACTTGTTTGAATCCTAAAACTGAACCTACATCCCCCCCACACACATTAAACGTTAGCACCTCAATTATCCTAAAACATAACCTTTAACCTAATTCTAACTTTAGCCCTCAAAATGATCCATTAATGTAAATGTAATCTAGCATTTACTCCCCTGAAACATGTTCACTGTTTGTTATACACACTGCTTTAGCAGTTAGGGTATAAATCCACTATAACTTTTATGAACGCGTTGCTTGTGTTTCTGGAAAAGCCACATGAAATTAATATTATACAAACATTATACCACAATATCAAGTTTCACTAGGGAGAAGGCCTTGGATGTATGAGTTTACAATCTAGAACATGTTGGACAACTAAAAATAAGACGTGCTGGCAATGGTCCTGGTATTATCAGTAACCAGCAAAGGCATGCCCCTTCTAGAACAGAAAAGGTTGAGGATATAACAAACAATGATAAAGAAATGTCTTAATGGTGCAAAAGTGGAGTGTGGAGGGTATAACTGTAGGCAGTATGTGCAGGAGAGCAGTATGGAAGGTATAACAGGGGGCAGTATGTGCAGGAGAAGAGTGTGAAAGGTATAACATAGGGCAGTATGTGCAAGAGAGGAGAATGAAGAGATAACAGCAGACAGAATGTGCAGGAGAAGAGTATGGAAGGTATAGCAGCAGATAGTATGTGCAGGAGATAAGTATGAATGGTATATAACAGTGGGCAATATTGCAGGAGAGGAGCATGGAGAGATAACAGCGGGCAGTGTATGCAGGAGAGGAGCATGGAGAGATAACATCGGGCAGTATGTGCAGGAGAGGAGTATGGAAGGCAAAACAGCAGGCAGTATGTGCAGGAGAGGAGTGTGTGGAAGGTATAACAGTGGGCAGTTTGTGCAGGAGAGAAGTGTGGAAGGTAAAACAGTGGGCAGTATGTACAGGAAAGGAGTATGGAAGGCAAAAACAGCAGGCAGTATGTGCAGGAGAGGAGTGTGGAAGGTATAACAGCGGGCAGTATGTGCAGGAGAGGAGTATGGAAGGTATAACAGTGGGCAGTATGTGCAGGAGAGGAGTATGGAAGGTATAACAGTGGGCAGTATGTGCAGGAGAGGAGTATGTAAGGTATAACAGTGGGCAGTTTGTGCAGGAGAGGAGTGTGGAAGGTAAAACATCAGGCAGTATGTGCAGGAGAGGAGTATGGAAGGTATAAAGGTATAACAGTGGGCAGTATGTGCAGGAAAGGAGTATGGAAGGCAAAACAGCAGGCAGTATGTGCAGGAGAGGAGTGTGGAAGGTATAACAGTGGGCAGTATGTGCAGGAGAGGAGTATGGAAGGTATAACAGTGGGCAGTATGTGCAGGAGAGGAGTATGTAAGGTATAACAGTGGGCAGTTTGTGCAGGAGAGGAGTATGTAAGGTATAACAGTGGGCAGTTTGTACAGGAGAGAAGTGTGGAAGGTATAACAGTGGGCAGTTTGTGCAGGAGAGAAGTGTGGAAGGTATAACAGTGGGCAGTTTGTGCAGGAGAGAAGTGTGGAAGGTATAACAGTGGGCAGTATGTGCAGGAGAGGAGTGTGGAAGGTATAACAGTGGGCAGTATGTGCAGGAGAGAAGTGTGGAAGGTAAAACAGTGGGCAGTATGTGCAGGAAAGGAGTATGGAAGGTAAAACAGCAGGCAGTATGTGCAGGAGAGGAGTGTGGAAGGTAAAACAGTGGGCAGTATGTGCAGGAGAGGAGTATGGAAGGTAAACCAGCGGGCAGTATGTGCAGGAGATGAGCATGAAGGGTATAACAGCGGGCAATATGTGCAGGAGAGGAGTGTGGAAGGTATAACAGTGGGCAGTATGTGCAGGAGAGGAGTGTGGAAGGTATAACAGCGGGCAGTATGTGCAGGAGAGGAGTGTGGAAGGTAAAACAGCAGGCAGTATGTGCAGGAGAGGAGTGTGGAAGGTATAAAAGTGGGCAGTATGTGCAGGAGAGGAGTGTGGAAGGTAAAACAGTGGGCAGTATGTGCAGGAGAGGAGTATGGAAGGTAAACCAGTGGGCAGTATGTGCAGGAGATGAGCATGGAGGGTATAACAGCGGGCAGTATGTGCAGGAGAGGAGTGTGGAAGGCATAACAGGGGGCTGTATGTGCAGGAGATGAGCATGGAGGGTATAACAGCGGGCAGTATGTGCAGGAGAGGAGTGTGGAAGGCATAACAGGGGGCAGTATGTGCAGGAGAGAAGTGTGGAAGGTAAAACAGTGGGCAGTATATGCAGGAGAGAAGTGTGGAAGGTAAAACAGTGGGAAGTATATGCAGGAGAGGAGTATGGAAGGTATAACAGTGGGCAGTGTGTACAGGAGAGGAGTGTGGAGGGTATGACAGTGGGCAGTATGTACAGGAGAGGAGTGTGGAGGGTATAACAGTGGGCAGTATGTGCAGGAGAGGAGAGGAGTGTGGAAGGTATAACAGTGGGCAGTATCTGCAGGAGAGGAGTGTGGAAGGTATACCAGTGGGCAGTAGTGTGAGTATTGTGACCCAGAATACCTCATCCCGACTCCACCACCCAAGACACAGTCAACAACGTCTCATGAACCGTAGATTAACACAGTACTGATCTCTTTTTACGAGGCAAGGAGTTATCTCATTAGTACCCAGGTTCAGGACTTAACACAGGCAATCATTTAGGATGGATCGATAGTGGCCCCAGAATTGTGTTGATCTACTGTGATAGCATCTGATTCTAGCCATATGTACCAACCTGCTATAAGTAGATGCAGATTCTAAAACAAAGACAAGATGTCCTGCAGAACAGTGGCATTCACTCTCTGTAGAGCAGCCTCATGGAACTTGTATGCTGAACCGTAGGACTTTACTAAGGAGCAGAGTAGTAAAGGACTACATTTCTCAGAGGAGATGGCATATGGGCGGAGGTGTATATATGCTGTAAGGGACAGAAGGACCCAACACAAGCAGCGACTCCTCCATCCAGGGGTAGCAGTACCATTTGTTCTTCAATGTTGTGTATCCGTTCACTTTCTTGGTTCTGCTGTTCGCAAAACACAGCACAGTGATGATATTGCAGTTGTACTTTGTGGCCATTTCCATTCTAATTGTTGGATTTTTTACATTTGTTTTATATGAAGAATGTAACAGAAGGAGCACGTAGAGGTGGGAAGGAACACCCAAAAGTGAACAGAAAGATATTTGGGGATTTTGGCAGGTAGATCCTGCTGTTGGAGCATCCTAGACATATAAGAAACCATAACACCTGTTTCCCTCCAACAAGCTCCACCTTTAAAGCTGATACAATTTTCTCTAAATATATGAACCATGTATATTTTTGCTTAAATTTGGTGTTGTCCAAACCTGTGCAGTACTCCAACATGACTCAACTCTTGCACTTTGTACAGTGTTTTTTTTTGTGCAGGGTGACGGGTCTTATCTCTGCCCCTCCTGGAGTTTTTTGCAAGCAGCCTGTTGTGGGTGGAGCCTGCTGGGCTCCTCCCACATATCTGCTCTCTGCACAGGCTATGTACAGCACAGTGATGATGTCACTGCTACTTTTACATGTTAATAAGTGGGCACGCAAATTAATTTTATGCACACAAAGTAGATTTATACCCTGTGTGGCCATGGAAAAATATATATATTCTTATGCCTGTAATTTTTTATTGATATTAATTTTGGCTGGGCTGGCCCTATAATGTAATACTTTTCCTGTTACTAACAAGGAGAACATTTTTACAACCTTTTAGCATCTGTAACGGCACATGCTAGGTGCAATAACTAAAAGCAAGTCTTATACACGCACACAATCAACATGTAGTCATGCAGGTACCTTTTAATTAGCATTTAAACAATTACATATTCTACACATGTGAAAGACCCAACCCTGGCACATCATAGCATTCACTCGGCACTCCAAGAAATAACAGAATCCAACTGCAAGCATATTCTTGCACTGTCAAAACCTCCACTTTTATTATCACATGACACACAGGAGCAGGGGCAGACTGACAACTCATGGGGCCCCTGGGCAATAGGGGATCATGGGGCCCCTGTGTCCTTGCCCAAACTCAAAAAGGCCTATGAAAAAGGTACCAGGGGCATCTCATGGGGCCCCCTACTGACCCCGGGCCCTTGGCAGTGCCCAAGTTTCCAAATGGTCAATCCGCCCCTGCACAGGAGGATATATCTTATAGTCATCACAGTTTGCATAATAACACACACCAATAATAATGTGAGCATTACAGCATGAAATAGACACATCATTTGACAGCATCACAGCATAGAATTAATACATTACCAAAGCTATGTTAGAAGCTGGAAGGAACAAATCGCATCGGAACCATACTTCCCAGGGGGTCACGGGTAAGCCGTAAGCGCGATCAATCGATGAGTCCATATAGCCTTGGCAAAAATCCCAGCATCAGAGCTTCCTCTGGCAACTTGGGGCTTCCATTAATCAATCTCGCTTGGACTTCCGGCTTTTAAACCATTTTTCTGGAAGCTTTCCAATAGTGGGCGGGCACCACACCCACCACAGGAGGAGCTAACAGAAAGGTCCCGTGGGGAGTCATGCTCAGCCACCATATTCATTATCTGAAAAGTCACACTTTTGCTTCTTTTCTACCCTAAACTTCTTCTCATCTACCCCAAACTTCTCATCTACCCTAAACTTAAAGATTTCTAACTTCTCAAGCAAGCAGATGTCTTTAAACAGGTGTTTATCTTCTAATGTGAGGTTACTAGATGTCATAAACATGTTCCATTCCATAAACAAGTTTTTATCTTGCCCTCAGCAGAATATCTTGTGACTCTGTTCCTTTGGCTTAGAGAAATGACATTAGTCATTTCTCATGCCCCTGGCATTTGGGCAACAATGCTTTATTGTAAAAATTACCCAAGAAACAAAGGGTTCAAGGCCAAAACATTTCATAGGCATTACAGCATCTTATTTAACCCCTTTATGACAGCAATTTGCATATATGTGGTAGTAGGGAGGGTGGGTCTTAATGCTCAGTCGTCGCATATGTGTGTCATTGTCTTGCTATGTGGCATTGGTATCACCAGGACTGTGATCAAGCTGTCACCAATGGCTCACAGTTAACTACTGACAATTGGGAGATGGTAGATGATGTCAGCACTGTGCAAGATCAGGAGCTCTACTTACCAGCCCTGGGCATCACGGCCCATATAAAACTGGCTCCCGCCATTGTAAAGGGGTTAATCTTTTTTGGACTGCCTATAAACCATTTCACTGTTGTGATACGCAATTCAAAAGGCTTCCTGCAGGTTGTAATACTCACAGTTCAAATGGTTTCCGAGGGAGATCTGTAATTGGGTGGACAGCAACAAATCACAATCTTAATAACATGTCTCATTTATATTGGTTCTGTTACAGAAAGAAGGGAAGGAGAAATAATATTTATCGGTGCTTGGCTTGGCTGCCGGAATAATTGATGCCTCCCATGAAACAAGCCGTTTTGCAATTACCGACGACTGTTTTAGAATTTTCTTTTTAAAAGGAGGGTACAGACACATGGAGGTGCTTGTGATCTTATACTCAGCAGACCTCATAGCTATTGCAGATGGTTTTGCTTACAAAGATCTGTGGGAACTCTATGGAGCCTTTCAATGTTAGAAAACAAATTCCAGGGTGTTTGCTATCCAAAGCTGCTGACCTCAGCCCTCAGTTATTATTGGACTGCATGAAGCTAAAATAGTCTTTTCTGATTTTTTGAATAATAAACCAAAGCTGACAAATATCAAATTCACATTTTGAACACGTGAAGGACAAGTGCGGAGAAAAATGCCAAGAACATCCACAGCTACGCTTCTAAAAACAAATAGTAGTGAAGAGACTGTACTCCTTCAAACAAAACAATGATCATAAGAAAAAGCTGTGTAGGAATAGAGTTATTATTAAAGCAGAACTCTAGGATAATAGCTCAATATATTTAAAGCTGAACCTCAGGAATCCAGCCACTTTGAAAAAAGGCAGGCACACTATGAGTTACCTCCAATAAGGTGCATGCCACCTTGTGGACTTATGTCTTTAATTTAGATCTGAAAGTTTTTTGGAGCTCCATGGAGGATAGCTATTGCTACTCTCCGAGGCTCGGAGACATGCTGTTTTCTCACATATGGCATCTCTGTCTGCCCCTCCCCTCTGCTGCCTATTCACAGAAGGCTTTGTTTTTTGTAAAGGAGTTCACAAAACACAAAGGTTTCTGTGAATGGGCAGCGGGGAAAAAGAAAGGGGGGGGGGGCAGGCACATCAGCTGCATGCGACTGTGCAGCTTATAGTGTTAATCCCAGGACCCTGCATTCACTCTGTCTGGTCTCCCACAGTACACACTATATAGAAATGCAATTACTTTAGTAAATATAAATTGCTAAATACCTTTTCTCATCAGCAGTTAGAGCACTCTTGTGACTTCTATCAGTGTTTAGCAGGGTACTAGTTAAAGCTTGTAGGAGGAGTTTTCATTCTGCTCTAGGAGGATGCAGGACCTGACCTCTGTCTGGACAGTGCTGATTGGCCCTGTGCTGACCACATGCACTCTCTCAAGAAAATAAAACAAAAACCTCTTTAGCAATACACATCAAACTGTGTATGCGCAGATTGTCTCCACACGATATGGAAGATAAGAGGCAGGCACCAGAAGAAGAGGAGGATCAGACAAGTCAGGATCAAACAGCATTTTTACACAATGCAAAGGATTAACCCTTTAGGTTCCACAGTGAGTATATCAAGAATGCTTTACTGCAAATATAGACTGATTTTACTGTTGTGGGTTTAGTAACACTTTAAGGAGCTGAGACCAGACGATCCAGCATGGAAGTTCCAGAACTATAGCTATCCTTATGGAGATACAAAATACTGTCAGATATTAATTGAAGAGTTACGTCCAGGAGGTGGCATGCACCTCGTTGGACCTAACTCATAGCACTTCTGCACATATATCAAAGTTTCTGAATTCCTGAGTTCAGCTTTAAAATGCAAGAGTTGAAATTCTATTCCTTCAGTCTTGTGGTTTAC